CACACACACACACACACACACACACACATACACACACATTTCAGCGCAATCTTATACATTTCCTCTCACGACTGTCTGGACGTCTCAACATGAGTCTCGAAACGTACTCACCCGTCTGTTGCTAAGTGTTGATGGATATATGCCAACATTTTAATGTTTCAGGTGTATGGTGTAAATCCCGTATTACATTTTGATCCGCTATAGGCTAACATAAAGGAAAACGTGTCGGAATCTTAGTTTACAGTGACCTTTATGGATGGACTTTTCGATTCTGGTGGTCATCCAACTTTTAAACCTATATGCAAAGATCTGAGAAGATTTAAAAGGAGCGATTAGATCTGTTCTTGTTTTAACTGTGGTCAGACGGGGATTGTTTAATTCTTTGAGAACGCACGTTCTGGTTTTTCAGCAACGAATGAAGATGCTATGTTTTGGGGCACTTTAAGAAAAGAAGCATACCTTCTATATTTATACCTATATTTCAATTCGACTTTCTTAATCTGGAACCCTAAAGGCTAATTATTTTAAAGCTCTATCTATAAAATATGCAAATTTATGTTTCTGATTTGTGTATTACACCAATAGTTCAAAATGTAACACAGCATGTTGGACGTTAATTTTTTTTAAATCTTTAAAAATTCCCAATCACGTTTTCCCAACTTTTCCCCTCTGTCTCCGACTTTCAGTGGAAAACTGCGGCTACGAGGTCAACGAGTGCTCCTTCGACCCATGCAGGCACGGGGCCGTGTGTGTGGATCTCCTCAACAGTTTCCGCTGCGACTGCTTGATAGGATTCACAGGTTCGTATCTCCGTAAGATTTTGATGGTTTGATTAATCCATTTTCCACACAAATTTGGTCGTTCAGGTGGGCAAGCTGCTTCATCAACCCTCTCTGTGACGGTCAATCCACCTACGTCTGCAGAGCAGTGGTTAGGCGCTTCGTTGCGCTCGTAGGAGACTCGATTTCGATTTTCCAAGAAGAGAGAAACTTTTTAAAAATCTAGCGACTCGGTTTTCCCTCCGGGTTGGCGCTGACAGGAAGGGAAGGAAGCCCGCCTCCTAAATAATTGAATTACATGTGTCGACGGGGAGCATAAAAACACATGCATTATAAAGAAACGTGATCGACACAAATCTGTTATATATTTTGCAACTTGGAAACACACGTGTCACTTTTCCAATAAAACACGACAGCTACAGACTTGAAAGTTGGCAAGTACCTGCAAAAAGATAGATAGGTCCCCATGACGGACCCCAATTTTTTTATTTATTCATTTCCTGAATTTAGATAAATATATTTGACTAATTGTTCCCGTCTCTCTTTGGCCTGTGCAAATATTCCACTGAGAAACGAAACAAATCTGCGTAGATCTAGCTGTCCTTCACAGCTGAAGTGCCGGAAGCGATATTTTGCGAGGTGCATTTTGTTTTAAAAGTGTAAATATAGACCTTCTAATTTTTTGCATCTCTCAAGATGTATTGCTCCGTTCCAGTAGAGTGTAAATATTATAGTAGGCTTCCAGTTGATGTTAATGCACCCATCATTACTTTCACCGAAAGGGAGCCCAGCTAGTAAGACATAATCTACTAGACAAAGGTGCTGTGACGCCTCCCTTTATTTCTACAAATCTAGTTTCGAATTCCTGCGAAAAGACGTGACTAGTCTGAGAGAATGTTGTACACTATCTCTATTTTGTTCTGTGCCGTCAGGTGTTGCGTGTGAGGTGAACATCAACGACTGTGAATCTTCTCCCTGCAAGAACGGCGCTACGTGCATTGACCTTGTGAACGCCTTCATCTGTTCCTGTCTGCCCGGTTACACAGGTAGGCAGAGTCTGTCTTTTTTAATATAGATGTTTTTTGTTGTTGTTTGTTTTTGTGTTTTTTTTTTTTTACACCATGTAACTTTGTGGCCGTTTTTACTGGATTCCGACAGCTCAGAGATAATGGGGATGGGTGACTTTTCACCCAGATGGATCTTTAATAATTGACTCTTTGTGAGCGAGAGTGAGAGTGAGTCTGCGACAAGGGTCAACTCCTTATAGCTTGTTCACTTTTGTCAGACTGCATGAAAAAATGTCTTGCTCATTTATTATTGATTTGTCTACGCGCATGAAATTTTGTGTGGTACTCCAGAAGGCCAGCGTCCCCGCAAAAAGACTGGTACTCGATAGAAAAATTGTCTTTCCGCAAGCAAATCAAGCTCAGGCTATCTGCGTGCGACAGCAAAACAACTAACCGCTATACCACAGACACTGGCGAGTGTACCTTTGAGTTTTAACGAGTTTTTGGTAGACCACTCTGGAGTTATGGCTACGCCTCCAAAGAGCGTAGGACGCCGCGTTGGAGAGACAATGGTTCTTTTCGTCAGCGAATTTCTCGGTGGTTTGTGTGTCGATTTCCTGTAGCTTTTAAAAAATCTTTCCCTGCAGTTCAAATATTCTTCTTTATCCCCGAGGGCCCATGTCCTCTATCAGTTGTATGAGTTTTTTTCTAATTTTAAATAAGTTGTATTCAAAGTCTTGTATGTCATGCTGGTTGAATAACGCATTGACATGAACGCCTGTAGTGCAATGGTTATTTATTTATTTACATTCTTGCAGTTGCACGTAGCAGGCATGGGTTATATTCCCGAGAAGGGTAGTTATTTTATCTAGAATCTAGAATATCACCCTACTACTTGAATGCTGTATCCTTCTCAGCTTGGGTTTGTCCTAACATGCAGGGTCGGAGCAACCCGTCTTTTAAATGACCTAGATTGTTTCAAAAAGGATGCAAAAGAAGTACGATTCTTTACAGTCATGATGCATTGATTTTCTGCTATTTCCCCCAGGTTTAAAGTGTGAGACGGACATCCCAGAATGTGAGCCGAACCCCTGTCAAAATGGCGGCAGCTGTGCAGAGTTATACCCCGGCTCCTTCAACTGCACTTGTCCTTCTGGGGTCGAAGGTGACACCTGTGAAGTCATGACCATAGCGACCTTTATGGGGTCAAACGCCTTGACCTTTGCGTCACTCGACGCCATAACTCAACCCTTGGATGTCAATGATAACACAATGAACGACGCAGCAGCGAGAGTAACAAGGAGAAGGCGCAGATCAATAGACACATCAGTTTATCCTTCGACTTTGTCATCCGACAACTTGTCGTTTCTTGTCCAGCAATCTCCTGACACAGAATACGAAGTTGACAACGGTTATCCAACTCCTGGTGTGTTGAGATTTATTCCTTCAATGTCTAAGAACGATCCTGAAGACAATTTACAAGACAAAGTTCTTCGAAAGCCTCAAACGTTTTCCGAGGATTCAAAAGCGGCCCTACGTCAGCATTCTTCAGAACGTTCAGGGGATCGTTATATTGGGTTTTCCCGTACCCAAAGAAAGAGAGCTTTGTCAGAGGAAAATAATGACATTACAGTTTTGTACTCCAACGACGAATTCACGACGTCCAATTCTTTTGGATACAAGAAAAATACAGTGATGTCCCTGAATACTCAAGGAAAAACAACCATTTCTTCGGAAAGCAGTGCAATTCCAGTTATGTCCCTGGGGGTAAAACAGTTTCAAGGGGGACAAATAGTGCGAGACAGACGAGTGAAGAGACAAGCAGAAGTTGGAGGGGCGGTTGGAGAAGAGTTCAAAGTTCAGATCCAGTTCACACTGACGACCACGGTGCTGGAAGGAATCCTGCTGTTTATTACCGGGGTAAGTCCCTTGTGCTGTTACTGTTCCACGGGCAACGAGACCCGTCATTAGCACAGTGTGTTTCAGACTGAGTTATGGTGCAGGCGGCCGTGCTTCGAGTTCTGCACGTGCTGTTTCTAAAGTTAAATTGCTCATTGAGCAATGGTCAGGACAGCCCTGGTTTGAATTATGCATGTGCTGATTCTGAAGTTAAGTTACTTACTGAGCCATTGTTCGGGCTGCCCAGGTTCAGATTATATTCACATTATTTCGGAATTTAAGTTTCTTACTGAGCTTTTATGACAACTTCCTTGCACTCTCCGGAATAGATCGTGTCTGTAGTACCAGGTTAATCTCCTAGTCCGTACTGGTACATAAAGGCTTTCTCCTCGTGCAATGATGATACATCTAACTTAAATGACATCCGTGGTGTTATGGTAAGGCTCTTAGACGTTGCATGTGAAAGAATTGAGTGCGAACCTGCATAGGGGGGGGGGGGGTTAAAGGGGGTAGCTAAGCTATCCTATCGAATATAATTGTCTTTACGTCGACAGTTGTGACCCATTGCGGCCGGGTCAACCCTAACAAGAAAGGATGAAATAGCCCGCCTCCAGAATAATCAAATTGTGCTTATGAAGATCAAGAGCATTTGAAAACACTTTGTGTCTTGACAGACGATCTCAAAGCAAAATATATGCATGATACAGCTTTGCCTGTGTTGTAGACAAGGAGGAGGTAGATTGAATATTTATTGTGCATTCTGTAACGTTAACAAACTATCATACGTATATTTTATTTGATATCATATTCCTTACATATGCCATCGTAAACCAAATCTTCCTCACGAGGATCAGTGAAAAAGGATCACTTTTATATCGATCTTTATTTAAATTTCTAACTCTGCTGACCCTTGCAAGGAAATTTTACTTCAATTCTTTTGTGTAAAGAAAAAATGAATAAAAATAATATAGTATGTCCTACATAGATGTATGATAGTCAACTATTGTCCTTTCACCTACAGACTTCCTACTTGGGCCAGCCCCAGCATGTCGGTATCGAATTCCTCCCGGACTCTCGCCTTCACCTCACCGCCAACAATGGTGCTAACAAACTCCGGACGTCCTTGGCCCTTCCCGGCCCCACTTCCGGCATCTACAGTCACGTGGTACTCCTAGAACTTGATCCCACAGCAGCTGTATTGACCCTTGACCCTAACTCTTGTTCGGGGTTAGAGGCTACGGCTTGTTATCGGGCGGGCGTGTATTTCGCCGACGCAGCAATATGGAATTTGAACGGACGAGTCCATTTTGGAGGGGTGGATGAGTTTACAGCGTACTCTCGGAGTCAGCTGAGGGCAACTGCTGGATTTACTGGATGTTTAGGGGTGAGAGATGAAAAATAGACACTAACCTCCCTTTTCATACTTTTTTCTGACTTTGTGGAGGTTTCAGTTTTATTGTGCCTTTTTTTTCGTATCGTCTCATACTCTCTCCACCCCAACCCACTTCTCTCTCTCTCCCTGTCTCTCTCTGTCTCTCTCTGTCTCTCTCTGTCTCTCTCTGTCTCCCTCT